TGAACTCTGAGCCACATTGCTTTGTCTAACACTTGACCAGACGACTGGTCCTGTTTGACGCATTATCAATGATCCTGTTGTCGATTTCCGATACTCTGTGTTCGAACCATGATCTGCGTCCGAGAACACCAGAGTTTCTTCATTCGAATCACTTCGATAAGTGATTCCGAGAGATGGGCATGATTTTAAATATCGGAGAATTCTCTTTCTCTTCAAGGTGTTCTTGAGTACATTTGTCTAGATACCTGCTGAGGTATGCAGTGACAAAAGCCAGATCGATTCTTGTACATGAAGTCAAGTAAAGAATTAATCCGATGAGTTCTCGATAATTTTCATGAGTGGTTGTTCCGGTGTCCGGTATGTTGTAAATGGTCGGATCACTTGGCGTGGAGACTGGCTTGCAGTCTGACATGTTGAATCTTTTCAACAGCTCATGAACATACTTTGTTTGATGAATGTGGATATCGTTGTTATCGTTGGTTTCGATTTGCATGCCCAAGAAGTACGACAGAGGTTGAGATGTTATTTCGTTACCAAGAGATTGACGTCCATATGTCGGAGGCGATTGACGTTTTTTCCGTTCCGAGAAGTAGGCGTCGCGTCTTGGCGCGGCGTTGACTCGTTCGCAGAGTTAAGTATAGAGCGAAAAGAGAGCGACAATGTTTTCCAACTGCTGGTGCTGATTCGGATCCGAAACACTACATGAGAATGATCCCGATCCACAAAAGCAGATCCCAACTTTGGCTGGACAGTATTCGAGAACCGCTGGGTTTCGCGCCTCAATTTTTTTCCTGCGGCCAGTAGAGGTCCGAGACTCCCCAAAAGAAAGAAAAACAGAGGGGGGACACGTGGGGACACCGCATTTCTGACATCGAGAATTTAAGGAATTTCCGAACTTTTTCGTCTCGGCGAAAAAGTCTTCCCAGCAAGTCCAGAATCGGCTGACTCGACCGGAATCATGTGGGATTGCGAGATCAGGATGGGAACTGAGCGCAGAAAATAATTCTCCCCCAATGCGAGGGCACGAAGTATGTTCATTTCCGAGCATCACCGATTGGGGGGAAAATTCATGAAAATCGTCGTAAAAATTAAAAAAAGCCAAGGCCAGTAGCGCCTACGACACTACCGTGTTATGGGACGTGAAAACGTCTCTCGTCTCTCTCGCTCCAGTCTGGATTTTGTTATCCATCCCTTAGGATTATCTAGTCTACAAATTATTGAAATAGCAATGATGCATGCATTTTAATCAAATCATCGGTGATTTCACTTGATATCTTTCTTCGGCAACGGTTCTTCTCGCGGATTTTCTGTCGGCAGGACTCTGAGTTCCCCGAACTCGCATCTTAAACCTTCTGTTTTCCACCATTTCAGGAGCTCTTCCATATCAGCGTCTTCTGGTTCTTCTCGGGCGAACTTGAACACCGTATTGGTCGTCGCCGTCAGTGATTTGATTCCCCTGTACTCTCTGACGGAAGCATTGGTAATAGTAATGCAGTCTCCTTCAGTTTCATCCAGTTTGTGCGCCTGTTCTGACCATAAATCGAGAGTAACGATCATTCTTGAACTGTCGACTAGTTGAATGCTTTTTTTTCTCGAACTTGTCCATCGCGACACGTAAAAGTTTGGATGTCTCCCACGTCAAACACAATTGCAGTAAGGTTGACGAGTTTGTTGAGATTCACTTCAACGATCTGGCCGATCTTTATTTTGCTGGTGACTTGCTTCGGCAGATGGTCGCCAGAAATTTTCTGGATTGAGCTTATCTGAAGAGGTTCGTTGTTGTTGAGATCAAAAATAATCAATCAGGCTTCACCAGGAACAATATATTGAAGCGTGCTTTCGACCATTGTATCATCTGTTTTAATTCGGCCTAATCGTTCACCTTGGTCAAGACGAGTTCAATGTCGAGACATGAGACCTTGTATTGCGGATTGCAGACTTTTTGTCGAAACGCACTGAATTCATAGCATTCGCCCACGCAAATCTTATCGAAGATGCTCTCGCAGATGTCTCCTGCTACCACAACGTTCATCTCAGCTGTGTTGTCGGCGATTATGAAGGAAAATATTTTGCCTTCATTCGCCTCCTTTTTCCAAGCTCGAATCGGTGTTTTCATCAAGACTCGACCGTGTACGTAACCACCTCTTGTTCCCATCGAAACATCTTTGAGAGATTTCGGTCCTGGCTCTTGACGCTTCGGAGTTGGTAGCTCGTTATCTTGTAGAGCTTCTTGACGGAAAAATTCGGTCACTACATAAGATTCTATCATCCGGATCTGATGCGGTCACTCACGGTTTGATCGTATAGTGATTATCGATGCGCCCTCCATAGCGATAACCCACCTCTCTTGCGTTTTGTTGCGACGAACGTTTTCGATACCCCAACTCTTGACTGAGACCCCGATGGACGCGTCGTGTCATTCATCGTGGATGGTCTGACTCGAATGACTTCTGCTAGCTCTGATCTGCTTTTTATAGGTTTCCCGGCTTCGATTCTTCCGTCAATTTTTCTTCGCGGTAGGATCGCATTTTTCCCCGTGAAATTTTGGTGTTGTAGCCAATGTCGAATATTCAGGTTTTCCGACCTTCCAACACTCCCTTGAGCCAACCGGTGTCCCTAATGTTTGTCATCGACATCGTCGGTCCTCTATCTCAGTCCGTCGCGTTGTCCGTTGAGAACAATGATGCTCCATTTCTTCATTTGGCTTCCTAGAACGACGATGTCAAGCGAATTCATCGGCTTATGGCCTACGGATTCAATTTATTGATCACGGAACGATGGTACGAGAAGTATGATACGAACGGCTTGCTCTCGACTTGGATTCTTCTCGAGAATGTCAAATCAATACATGTATTCCCGAGTGTTGTCCTCTCTTCTGGGTTGTTCTTCAACTTCAAAGCGTAGTAGTCGTCGAGGAACTTTTCAAGCTTTGCTCGATCAGTATCGGTTGTGTTGAAATCCCCGATAATGATCAGTGGTACAATCTGATCTCTATTAGTGTTTTCTATCTCGAAATACCGCAGAGAAACACGCAGGTGGTCTCTCAAGGTTTCGAATCCAGTATGCTGGTGCACATAAATCGTCACAAGGTGAATTTTTTGTCGGCCTGGAATTATCATCTCCGTGAATGCCATATCGGCAGCATGCGCATGATTCTGTTGATGAGCGCCATCATATGGATCGCTTGCAATGGATGGTGTTGCGATAATTGCATAATCATTTCGTTTGTACACGGCGACACCTCCCGAGCGATTCTCGCATGCCGTCTGGTGGACGAATCGAAAACCGTCGATTTCAATTGATGCTCCTTCTGGGTGCATCCATGTCTCGGTCAATGCCAGGAAATCCGCGCGCGTCAAGATCGAATCT